AGGAAGGAAGGAAGGAAGAAAGGAAGGAAGGAAGGAAGGAAGGAAGGAAGGGAAGGAATCCACACTATCTCCCACCTGACCTACAATGACCAAGGCAGGAGTGACTAACCCATTTTCCAGATGGGGAAACTGAAGTGCACGGTGCCACTGAGGGGACCTGGGTGGTAGAAGTGGGGTGGGGGTGGGAGGGAGACGTTTAACGGTCTCCACTTGCTAACATTGTTGCTTTGATGCGCACGATGGCATTCCCTATGCCCACCATGGAAAGGCACATTTGTATCCGCATCTGTGGGGGTATAATTCACAGCTATTAAGTCCCTGGCTCACAGCAATGGGACAAAGCAGTGCCCGGTCCTGCGCCACCCCCCATGATCCATTATGGATGAGCCCGGGGTGACCCATCAGGTTTTTGGAAGTCTGTCTGTTGGTTGCCAGGCCTTTCTTCCTGGTCTTTCTGAGTCTGGCAGCTTGACGGAAACCGGCTTCCCAACCACCCCTTCCACCCGCCACGGACAGATGGCGGCCCAGGAAGGGCGTCCACTGGAACTGGAGACCTGGTGACCCCCAGAAGGCAGGACTCCTGCCACTGCGCCATCGCTGGTGCCTTCTGTTGTTTGCTTGCTCTGGTGGGTGACGGAGAAGGGCTGCGCCCTACGAGGTTGTCCTGGCTGTCATCTTCATGGAAGCAGGTTGTCCGACCTTTCTTCCGAGGTGCCTCTGCGTGGGTTCGAACTGACAGCTTTGAGGTTAACAAACCCTAAGAACTATCGAGTGGATTCCAACTCAGAGCGACCCTAGGGTCTCTGACATAGCTTCCCAGAGCACAGCGTCCCAGGCTGCTTTGACTTACTGCTTTCTTTTCAGGGGGGGAAAAAAAAGGTTCATGCTCCCTCCCCACCACATTACAAACTTTTGTCCCCCAGCCCGTAATCCCAGATGAAATGTAGTCTCCCTTTTGCAGTCTCCCTTCATCATCCCAGGGCCCGCCAACAGGGGACGATAGAAAGACCGGGAAGAAAGGCCTGGCAACCACTTTGGGAACCCAGAACCAAACTCCCTGGCCGCCTGTGGGTTTCTGAGGCTGTAACTGCTAATGGGAGTACAAAGCCCAGTCTTCTACTTTCAGAGCTGCTGGTGGTTTTGAACTACTGACCACTCAGATCACAGCCCAGTTTATAACTACTATGCCACCATGAGCAGACAGCCTTGCCTAACCCATCCAGTGCAAACTGTTTCCGCCGTCTATACCCACATCCAAAGGAGCCCTGGTAACGCTGTTAGCCTTGAGGTCAGTGGTTCAAACCCATCAACTGCTCAAGGGGAGGAAGATGAGGCTTTCTGCCCTGAGAAAGATTACGGTTTGGGAAACCCTGTATAGTGTCTCCAGGTGTTGGAATCAACTCTGCGGCAGTGGGGTTCAGGTCTGGATGTCTAGCTACCACAGATGGGGTGCCAGTGTCCCCATCTGAACCCTGAGATGTAATTCTGAGACACATAGTCAGAGGTTGGGGGTGAGACCCTGCCCCACCTCAGACTGCCCAGCCCCAGCCCCCTCTCCCCACCCTAGGAAGTCCAGGTCAGCCACAGGTTCAGTCCCACAGCCCCGGGGAGCACCCCAACCCCCACCCCGAATACCCCACCATGCCGGCGCACCTTCCAGTCCACCGCAGGACGCGCAGCCTGCCCAGAGGGCCACGACCAGGAGAAGGCTGGGTCTCATGCCGCCTGCACTCAGAGCTGAGCCCCCCGCGGGGAGACCAGCAGAC